GCTTGCCCCACCAGTTACTCTATTTTTAACACACTAGCTCAGTCAGAATGACATCCCCAGTTCAAAGCATAGACATACCCTTAGTGTGAGGCTTCCTCCTCCTCTGCATCAGGTTCCCTGCATCCCTCTACTCTGCCATCTCACCAGCTCTTTGCAAAGCTGATCTGGAAAGGATGTATTTTGTTCTTTTCTCACTCTTAGGCAAAAATCTCCAGGGTAGGTCCAAACCACTACAGATTGCAAAGCTGTTACTGCAGCATTTGGGATCACTGCTGTAAAATCTTGGATTACTTTTGTGGGTATATCTCTTAGTTCCTGTACTGAGCCTTCAAGGAACTCTGCCCTTCTACATCACTTCTGATCTATAACACCCCTGGCTTTTTGAGTTCTGGGCCCCTAAACTGCTCTGCTGATGCACCTCAGTCATGATCTGCATTGCCTTTGCTATTACAGAGCGGTGTCTCCACACAGTTCAGCTAATGTATGTCATTCCTGATGAGATGTGGTCCTAGCTGCTCCAGTCATGGGTCTTCATACAGATCTCAGTGCATCTCAGGGCTTGTCTATACCATAGGGCAATGTGCTCTATGGGGGTGGGATTTCTAAAGCACACAGGCCTAACAAAGAAAATAACAGAACGCCACTAGCCATCACCTTCAGCCCCCAACTAAAACCCCTCCAACGCATTATCAAGGATCTACAACCTATCCTGAAGGATGACCCAACACTCTCACAAATCTTGGGAGACAGGCCAGTCCTTGCCTGCAGACAGCCCCCCAACCTGAAGCAAATACTCACCAGCAACAACATACCATACAACAGAACCACTAACCCAGGAACCTATCCTTGCAACAAAGCCCGTTGCCAACTGTGCCCACATATCTATTCAGGGGACTCCATCACAGGGCCTAATAACATCAGCCACACTATCAGAGGCTCGTTCACCTGCACATCTACCAATGTGATATATGCCGTCATGTGCCAGCGATGCCCCTCTGCCATGTACATTGGTCAAACTGGACAGTCTCTACGTAAAAGAATAAATGGACACAAATCAGATGTCAAGAATTATAACATTCATAAACCAGTCAGAGAACACTTCAATCTCTCTGGTCACGCGATTACAGACATGAAAATTGCGATATTACAACAGAAAAACTTCAAATCCAGACTTGAGTGAGAGACTGCTGAACTGGAATTCATTTGCAAATTGGATACAATTAATTTAGGCTTGAATAGAGACTGGGAGTGGCTAAGTCATTATGCAAGATAACCTATTTCCCCTTGTTTTTTCCTACCTCCCCCCTTCCCTCCTCAGACATTCTTGTTAAACCCTGGATTTGTGCTGGAAATGGCCCACCTTGATTATCATACACATTGTAAGGAGAGTGATCACTTTAGATAAGCTATTACCAACAGGAGAGTGGGTTTGTGGGGGGAGAGAAAACCTTTTGTAGTGATAATCACCCATTTTTTCATGGTTTGTGTGTATAAAAACATCTTCTGTATTTTTCACAGTATGCATCCGATGAAGTGAGCTGTAGCTCACGAAAGCTTATGCTCAAATAAATTGGTTAGTTTCTAAGGTGCCACAAGTACTCCTTTTCTTAAAGCACATTAACATGCTGCACATTGATTGGTCCATGTAGACCCTGTTGGTGTGCATTAATGTATTACTGTTTTAACCAGTACTATGTTCAAGCACACTAGGTAACCTTCAGTTAGCACCAACAGGGTCTACTTGAAAAATTCGTTACCAGATCCAGTCCTACTCTCCACAGGACTGGTATTTGACTCTTGTACCTCATGCTCATGCTCAATTCCACATTAATATGGATAACTATCATCTCAGTTTGGAGCTAGCTAAGGCAATACTGCATAACCTGAAACCAGGAATGTCTCTGTGCATGGGGCCTGGCCTCATGTCCTGGCTGATTTGACAGAAACCAGCGTGTTGTCCCGGTTGCTGTAAACCCCAGAAGACTGGCATTAAACTGAGCCTTCACAACCTGAAAGCTGAACCATTTCTTGGTCTTCCAAATCGGGGTGCCAGCAGCTGAAGGCTTTTTGGGTTCTCAAAGGCCAGCTCTACCTGCTGTGGCAGTACTGGGCCTCCTCTGGATGATCAAATATGAGGCGGTGTGATATGGAGGCATCCTAACAAACTGTATGTATGCAGCTTCTGACTTGGTACTGCCACTCCAAGGTGCCTCAGCATACTGAGAGACCTAAAAGGGGAAAGACAGTTAACTATGCAGTAACATTACAATAAAAATACAACTGAGCATTAATGTAAAATCTGAACGTACTAGAGAGGCAGGACAGCCAAGTGGCCATTGAAACCACCTGATGCCCAAACTTCATCCATTTCTGGCAGTGTCATTACCAGGGTGAAACTAAGCTTAGCCACCTGAAAGTGGCCATTTGTCTTCAGAGATGAATGGAAAAATGCTGAAAGCTTCTGCTGTCTGGATGTGCTCAGGCTGAGTGTGCTTTAGAGTAATGGAGCACTGTGGGACAAGCATTTCACTGGACTTCTGGCATGCACTGTCTTGCAGATGTGGACAAATGCAGGTCATGACCCCAATAATTGGGAATGCCCAAGCCTGAAGTGACAAGGGTGAGGATGGGGGGAGAGGTGGGAAGGGACTTGAAGGGAAGGGAAAGAATCTTTAAGTCACTTTGGTGCTTCCGACAACTCTTTGGAGCTGCTGAGATCTTTTGAGAGCTATTTGCATCAGCCAGCACCACTGGCAGCAGACTGTAGCAATTGTTGCTTGTGCAGAGCCTTGTCTGTGGAACCAGAGAGAAGTTACGTCCAAAGCAGACTACGAAGAGTTAAAAGGGATCTCGCAAAACTGGGTGACTGGGCAACAAAATGGCAGATGAAATTCAATGTTGATGAATGCAAAGTAATGCACATTGGAAAACATAATCCCAAATATACATATCAAATGATGGGGTCTAAATTAGCTGTTACCACTCAAGAGAGAGATCTTGGAGTCATTGTGGATAGTTCTCTGAAAACATCCACTCAATGTGCAGTTTTCAGAGTAACAGCCGTGTTAGTCTGTATTCGCAAAAAGAAAAGGAGTACTTGTGGCACCTTAGAGACTAACCAATTTATTTGAGCATAAGCTTTCGTGAGCTACAGCTCACTTCCTCGGATGCATACTGTGGAAAATACAGAAGATGTTTTTATACACACAGACCATGAAAAAATGGGTGTTTATCACTACAAAAGGTTTTCTCTCCTCCCACCCCACTCTCCTGCTGGTAATAGCTTATCTAAAATGATCACTCTCTTTACAATGTGTATGATAATCAAGGTGGGCCATTTCCAGCACAGATCCAGGTTTTCTCTCCGCCCCCCCCACCCACTCTTTGTGCTGGAAATGGCCCTCCTTAATTATCATACACATTGTAAAGAGAGTGATCACTTTAGATAAGCTATTACCAGCAGGAGAGTGGGGTGGAGAGAGAAAAAACCTTTTGTAGTGATAAACACCCATTTTTTCATGGTCTGTGTGTATAAAAACATCTGCTGTATTTTCCACAGTATGCATCCGAGGAAGTGAGCTGAAGCTCACGAAAGCTTATGCTCAGATAAATTGGTTAGTCTCTAAGGTGCCACAAGTACTCCTTTTCAATGCGCAGTGGCAGTCAAAAAAGCAAACATAATGTTAGGAATCATTAGGAAAGGGGTGAATAAAAAGATAGAAAATATATTGCCTCTATATAAATCCATGGTACTCCCACATCTTGAATAATGCATGCAGATGTGGTCACCCCATCTCAAAAAAGATATATTGGAATTGGAAAAGGTACAGAAAAGGGCAACAAAAATTATTAGGGGTATGGAACGGCTTCCATATGAGGAGAGATTAATTAAATTGGGACTTTTCAGCTTGGAAAAGAGATGACTAACAGGGAATACGACAGATGTCTATAAAATCATGACTGCTGTGGAGAAAGTAAATAAGGAAGTGTTGTTATTTTCTCATTCGCATAACACAAGAACTATGGGTCACCAAATGAAATTAATGGACAGCAGGTTTAAAACAAACAAAAGGAAGTATTTCTTCTCACAACTCTCAGCCAACCTATGGAACTCCTTGCCAGAGGATGTTGTGAAGGCCAAAACTATAACAGGGTTCAAAAAAGAACTAGATAAGTTCATGGAGGGTAGGTCCATCAATGGCTATTTGCCAAGATGGGCAGGGGTGCAAAAACATGCTCTGAAGTGTATTCTGGTGAGTTTAACATTTATCCCTGAGTATTTGCAAACACTGGCTGTCCTGATAGTCACAGCTCCCTGTGAGCTAGGTCAGCATTGTTCTCTGTATTCCACAGATGAAGAAACTGAGGCACTGAGAGGTTAAGGGCCAAATTTTCAAGCTTGGGTTTAAGTTAGTCACCTAAATCGATATTGAAGCATTAACATCAAAGTGGCTTGATTGTCAGAGGTGCTGACCTCAATGGGCACTGCAGGGACTTAGCACTTCTCGACTTGGGTGACAAATTTTAGGCACCCAAGTGTGGAAATGCCCATCTGTGACTTGCCCCAGGCCACAAAGGGAGCTGAGATTTTTGTCCCCTGCTCTGGTGCTTTTGTCGGCTATTAGAACCCACTGCCTTTCATGCTATTCAGCTGCACTTTCTTGTGGCCAAAGCTCTCACTGGTAGCTCTGCATAGGAGCTGGATTAGTTATAGGCAGCTGGGAGGCAGGAGCTGTCAGTAATGCTAATGCTGTCAGTGGTAGCTGGGGTGACACTGTCCATCATAGCTGTGAACTGATTTGGGGTCTTCTCAAAACTCAAGGGACTTGTAACCGCATTTATACTGTATCCCCAAGCCCAGCCCTGACTGGCTGTGAAGGGACTCTGGATAAACCTGTGTGCTTCTGGGGAAATCAGTGACAAGCTTTCATGCTAGTGAGTAAAATCTCTTTTCTTTCTTTTTGTCCCCTGCTCCACTCTCCCGCCCCCTACCCTGGCAGGTCTCAGAGACTCTCCTACTCTCCATTGCTGCGTCTTGAGGACATGGCGCTGAGCATCCCAGGAACTGTTCCTCTCTGTACCATTCGTCTTGGAATTCTACTCATGGCGTATGCTTTCCCTGCTGAAGCTGGGTAAGATGACAAGAACCTGGGGGTTTTAATAACACTGGTGACTGAGGACTCCGCGCGCTCTGCTTGGGATATTCGAGTGTAAGGTCCCCAACCCCCACTTTTCATCATGTGGAGTATTCCAGTAGAACCTAGAAAAAGGCCACCTCGGCTTTTCTTTAAACCATTCCAGTATAAACCCAGAAGAGTGTCCACTTTCCTCCCCGCACCCCTGCCAAAACCTTGCTATAGGGTTCACGTGTCCCCCTCTCTAGCACCTGCTCAGTTTGGTCTTCTGCAATATTTTCCAGGATGTTGATTGCACTATCCTCCATATGCAGTATTTTGCTGCTGCACAAGTATCTGTTTTCCTTGGCCGCATGCAATATTCTAGCATAACATAAAACAAGCCCCCCCACCCCCTTGGAATGTTCACTCCCTGGTAGCTGAGAGTGACTGGGATTACATTAGCATTGTTCAAGCCGCTATAGCTAAGGTAATGTCAGCACTTTTATGACAAAAACTAATTTTCTAACTTGGCCCATGAGCAATTCGCTCTGGGCTAAAACTTGGCAGATTGCTTCCAGGCCTTTTTTTAAAAAAATAAATAAATATTTCGTTCACAACATTTGAAAAATGAAATTGATTCAGCTGTTTGACTGTTACAAGTGTAAATGACAATGAAAAAAAATGCATTGATCTTGGATGGAGTTCTTGGCTTTGGTTAGTGGTTCCTGGACTTGCCCAGTAGCCCAAGATCTGGGATGCTACTGCCTGACCTTACTTGCTTTCTTGCATTTATAGAACTGTTCTGAACAGAGAAAATGAGAGTCCATTTGTCCATAATTGGCCACCTGTAATCACATCATTATATAGTCCAATGGCAGCATAACACTCCGCTGTGCCTCCCAAATGACCCCTTGTGGTTGACTGTCAGGAGGGATGATCTCCTTTTAAACAGAGGAAGGCCCAGCACAGAACAGTCTATGTGGGCAGTGGTGAGGAATAAGGAGATCCCCAAGTAAAAATCCCTTTGGAGATAGATAGATATATATGTACAAATACACACACTGCATCCATCCTTGGCAGCAATATTTGGTTTAATTAGGGTGACCAGATGTTCCATTTTTAAAGCCCTCCTGCAGGTGTCCCAACTTTTCCTTAAAAATAGGCAACTTGTCCCGTATATTCTGTCTCTCCCCCTCCAACTCCCATGAATACTGGCGGATTCTGCTGCTGGCTGGATTCCTGCTCACAAGCTACCCACCCACCACCAGTGAGTGGGGGGTCCAGTGGCTGACGATGAGGGTGGGTGTGCAAGGCTGGTGGCGGGGCAAAGTTGCAGCGTGCAGGGCAGGCCGCTCCCCCTGCTGGTCCGTCAGTGCAGCTCCTGCTGCGTGCTGGCTCTCGGCCAGCAGGGCCCTGCCCCCCATCCTGTTTCTGGCTGGCAGTGGCTGCGAGCTGTGGTGGCTGGTGAGTGCAGGCAGGCGCCAGGCAGCGGCCAGTTTTGTATCCCCTCTGCTGCTCACCCATCAGCCCTTTATGTGCTCCCCCTCTCACTGTCCTGTCCTTGCTTTTCCCTTTCGCCCACTGTCCCCCCGCAGCCCTGCTGCTCCTCCATATCCACCCCGGTGCTCCCAGTGCTGTGTGAAGAACCAGCCCCTGGTCAGAGCACTGACCTCAGCAAGAGCCTGGCTGGCAGGTTCCTTCCTTCCCCCACTGCCTTGGGTTGGGCTGGCGCCCCGGGAAAGCCCAAGACCCTCCGGCCCAGTTCGCTGCCCAGGAGGAGCCGAGCCCTGCATGTGCCAAAGCCCCGTGCAACACTGGCATGGGGAAGCCTCTCTGCCCTTTAGCTAAGCTCTGGAGTGGCAGTGGGGTGGGGAGCGATTTCTAATCTCTTCATGCCCCGAACCTGCAGGCTCCACAGCAGCCCCTGGGCAGGGGCTTAGCACCCTCTTCACCCACCATCCCCTTGCCCTGAGTCCTGCCCCTAGGGAGTGTAGCACGGGGCTGCTCAGTCCCCAGGCATCCTCTCCTGTTAAGCCATCTCTCTGGCAAGGTTCACTGATGCCCCTGCAGTCGGGTTCCCTGGGCCCTGGTGCACAATGCATCCTTAGAGCTTAACCCCCTCCTGCCTGCACTGTAGCTGGGGGACAGGAGGCTGCTGGGTTATGTTGGTGGTTAACAGCAGCCTGGAGGTGTTAACTGCCTTTCAACACTGTGTAAGGATGGACCTGCTTCTCCTGGTACCTGGCACAGTGTCTTCCTGAGGCAACAGGAAGCGGCAGCCAGCACATTCCTCGGCCTGCGCCGCTTCCCGCAGCCCCCATTGGCCTGGAGCGGCGAACCGCGGCCAGTGGGAGCCGCGATCGGCCGAACCTGCGGACGCGGCAGGTAAACAAACCGGTCTGGCCTGGCAGGGGCTTTCCCTGAACAAGCGGCGGACCGGCTTTGAGAACCACTGCCCTAAAGCCTTAAAGATAAGAAGGTAAATAAAAAGAATCCAACTACGCAGTATTTCTTTTTAACAGGGGCTCAGTCAACTTGATGTTAATTTGAACGTTTGTACTGCATAGTTCTGATTGATTGCCACTGAACTCGCTTTAATACGAGTAATTTTACCAGGTGTTTTACCGTATTCAGCATAGGGAAATATGGTTACCCTAGATTTAATTTTTTTATGTGTACAGAATCGTGCAAACACATTCATTTGCACTTATCCCACATACACACTCGTGCACACCTGCCACATGCCTTCTCTTCTGCATACTCAGTCTCCCCACACGTTCTCATTTGTACACATGCACTGATACATATTTGTTTTGCACATACTCAAGCACACATGCTTATACATCTATGCCCCGTTCTTACAAGTGCATACCTACCTGTGCACACACTTGTGTAAACAGAGAGAGAGAGGTGCTCGCGTGCCTACATGTGCATACGTGCCCTTGTGCACACACATGCACACTCTCACTGCAGTTAAACCAGGGAGCTAAAATGGCTCCTTCTCCCTTACTGCACATGAAAACCTCCCTCTAAAAACTGCTCGACTCTTCCTGAGAGGCAATAACCCCCCTTGTCTCTAAGCTGCGGAGAAAGGCTTCGTTTTGTTCTTTGACACAGTAAATGGGCTTCGGCGCAGTAGCCAGAACACTTGCTGAGTTGCTGTTCCTCCAGCTGCACTACCTCCGTGCTCTCAGCACCGCTGTCACTAGTGCAGATCTCAGCACCGCTGTCACTAGTGCAGAGGGAGCAGTAAACTGCCAACGTGAGCTTTCCTTCCATTTCCATTCCCTGCCCAAGATAAACCCTTCCCTTTGTGCTGGGTTTTCATTGCAAAGTAAACACGGACAGGCCCCTGGTGACAAGGGTGGCAGCAAGAGCCACTGCAATTTAGATTAAGGTGGTGGAAGTGAACCACTTATTCTTCTGTTGTCTCTAACCTGGGAATCTGGGCATTCATTTGTCATGAAGTCCTTCTACCTTGTGCTGAAAGTAGTGACTTAGATAGTAGATAGTTTTGGAGCCACACTGGAAGCCGGCCTGTGCTCTGCCTGCGAGGGGCCCTGCTTGCTAACCTTGCTATCTATAGGCAGCCTTTTTGCATTCTGGTCCTCTCTCTCCCCTTGTCTTGGGCCTTGTTACAGATCCCAATTCCCCTCCAACCCACAAAGACATGATATTATCCCATGCTCTTTTGTTCCACATCATAGATCCAAATTTTCCTCCATCTCACTCTGACCTGGCATTCTCCTGCGGTCTGTCACCTCTTCTTACGTACCTGCTTGTCCCTCTGATCTACCTGCCATTACGCCACACTCTTATACTTCTTGCCCTCCCCTCGTTTCAGACCTCTTCAGCCCAACAAGACCAATCCAAAGAAATCTACACTTGGCCTCCAGGGCTGTAAAGCCAAACGTCCAGTGAACTATCTTCATCTCCATCCCAAACACCTGAGCCATGCTAACTAGCAGAGGAAAATTCAGCCCCTTAAGGCCAGTGTGGGTGGAACAGGAAATGGGGTCCAGAACTGGGGTGTGTGTGTGTGTGTTTGAGCAGGTAGTTAGAGCCCAGGGAATAGCACCTGGAGGTTCCTTTTTCAAGATGATGGGAAGCCTGTGATTTGCCTCCGCTAGGACCACAATAAAGGGGGAAACATGGAGTCCCACTAAGCTGTCAGTCAGCATGAAGCAGCTTGTATTCCACGCCACTCACTGCTAGGCCATGAGCTATAAACACCCTGCCAGCATTCCTGCCTGACCTTGCAGCCCTTCTGGCTGTAGGCTTGGTAGCACTGTCTGAACTGGCCTGCATCCCTTCAGAGCTCTTCATTGCCCCTTCGTTGCATATTCTCAGCTCCTAACTCCACCTCTGTCCCTCACATGCATGTCATCATCTCACATTCTGTTGGCCATGTGTTGGTCTTGTTCATCTGCTGTCAGTTCTCCTTTCATTCATTATTTCTGCACCCTCCAGTCCGACTTGGTCAGGGCAGGAGAAGGATCAATTTGTCCCATTGTTTTTCCTTAGCCAAAGGGCAGCCTTTGCTTTATATTAAGGATAGATGAGCCCCTCTCCAAAGCTATGCTGGACCAAGCAGATGCCCCAAATATGGTTCCACATAGAGATGCTCCTGATTCTTTCCTTTGAAAATTTTATCTCCCCAGCCGTGCTGCTTTTTCACAGTCTTCTAAGCGAGATGTGAACCCCACAGTCTTCCAGTCTGAGTTAAAATTTCAAACCTCAAACAAAGCAAAACAGGTTCAAAATTCGACAAGATGAATTTGCCAATCACTCGTGAACCTCTGCCAGGCACTGCTCTTAAAACGCTATCCTGTCACGCTTTATATTAAGGCTGCATTTTAAATAGCTTATAAAGCAATAATAAATTCTTAATAGCTGTTGTTAGCATGATACAGATATACATTTCATGAGTTCTAGATGGTTATGAGCACATCAGCAGAAGGTGGGACAGATAGTTAAAACCATTGTTAAGCAACCTGTGGGATATTATTCCAATTGCACTATTACAGTCCCACTTATTAAAAATGGCTCTTTATTAGACCTAGTTGAAAATCAGATTTCTGTCCCATGGATATTTTAAAATTGGTTTTTGTACCAAATCTGTACAAAAAGTCCATATATATTTATTTTTTTTACAGAATGGAAAGTGCCAAAAAAACTTATATGAAATGTTTCATTTTGACACTTCTGATTAAAAACAAAACCTTTTGACTTTCCAGAACAAAAACATTTCATTTTGGCTTGGATGGACATTACTCTATATCTCTTTCAGCTGCCACAATGCCTTATACGAGTTGTACTTCAAGTGCCTCTGGTCCCATTCTCCTCTATGGGCTGGACTAAATCTCTGATATACCATGGTCATGTGACTGCCATGAGGCATCATGTCAGCTCAACAAGACTGGAGACTGTGGTGCATCATGGGAGATGTAGTCTAGCCAGGGAGTCTGTCTCAAAGAGGAGAACTGGGGCACTCAAATACTCCACGAGGTAGGCAGCAGCACAAGCAAACACAGACTGATGTCAAACAGACCTGAAATGAAACATTTCAGTTAGGGTCAACAAACTGAAGTGTGTCAATTCAGGTCAACCTGACCCTCCACAAAATATTGCATTTTGATTTTTCCTGATACAAAGTCAAGAAATGTTGGCCAAATCAAAATTTTTCACGGGACAATTTAGATTTTGCAGAAACTGAATTTTCTGTCAACCCCACTTGCACAAAAATAAACAAAATAACTGCATTTAGATGGAAAATTCCTGACCAGCTCTATTATTTGTCATTTATTGGCCCTTTATAAACTATTTATAAGTGTATCTGTAATATAAAGTGTGACCCTCTAACCAAACCCCATGCTATACAATTGGTCTTGAAAATGCTAGCCACCATTCCTCCCCTCACTATTCTTCCATTTTGCCCAGGCTCTGCATTTCCTGTGTCAGACTAGAAGTACTAAAATACATTGAGAAGATACTGTTCTTGTATTTCCAGCAAATGACAGGTCTCTTATGAGAGCCTGTTTTCATGAGCTTTCAGACCCTTCCTTGTCGCGTCCTAAGCCAAAATCTCTGGCTAGTTTGGCTGAGGTTCATATAGGCCTATGGACCTCTGGGGGTGCTCCTCTGAACCTTGTGAGGCTGTTCTGTCACTAACTAGCTGTGGTGGTAGGAGATTGGCTAGGCTAGTAATCATTGTACCACGCTGGTGGTGGCTTCATCCAGCAGGCTTAGCGACACTGTTAGAGAGATGAATGCACGACCCGTCTGACAAGCTAGAATGGAGTCCGGCACAGGCATGCCGGAAGCTCCTAGCCACTGCAGCACCGCTAGCACTTTCCTAAAAGAAACACGTTGGGGAAGGAGGAAGCGAAATCGAAGCCTGCAGTTTGGGAATGTGCGTTCCCTCTTGTTGTCTGCACCACAAAGGGAAGCTGCCCATCCTACAAATCAGCCCTAATGCAGCAGCACCCAAGAAACAACACTTAAGTGGATGAAGAAAAATAGAAACATTCAGAGTAAAAGAGAAAAAAAATCAGAAAGAGAGGGAAGGAACGGGAGAAAACAAATTAAATGTGCAGAGTCATGGGTAGGAATACGACCAAAGCTGCTCCACCAGCCCCCTAATATGGATCCAGGAGTGCTGCTCTGCAAATGCACCTGTATAATTTACAACCCCCCGCAGCCAGCACTGGTGTCTTTCCCATTTGGCATATTCATCCATCTTAATCAAGCTGCGGCTCCCAAGTCATTTATTTCTCTGTTTAGCAGTAATGCATCGATTTGTCAGTGCTGGACTGCAACCTCCACCAGAGGAGACTCCTGCACCACTTCTAGCAATTCATCCGCTAAACCACCCATTCATCTCTGTACCTTCCTGTGTTTCTTTATCTATCATGCTGCATGCCCAGGCTTCTTAATCTTTCCTTCTGTCTCCTTGCAACTTCTTGTAGCTGAACTTTGCAATGTCCCCTCCTAAAGTGGAGAGCCTGTAAACTCCTCTATCCATGAGTTCTTCTGCATCTTTTGCTAAACGTCTCCTACTGGGAGAAACTGGGTTTGGAGTAACAGTGGTGTCTCCTGAGCTCCTGGTAAACCTTTCTCCATTCGGATGTTGAGTGGGAGATGCTGGAACAGGGGAAGATGATTCTCCCAACCAGGACTCCTAAACCATTCCCCACCTGACTAGTTGATTCTAGCACTTTAGTTGCCAGCACCCCCATACAGCAACTTTAAATGGGTAAAATCGCAGTGAGATCTCTGCAGTCAGCCTCTGCAGTGGCTACAAGGAAAAGAGGCTGGGACTGGAGTAGGTGTGATGTCTCTTGCAATCAGCCTCCTACACACGTTATACTATGGACAAACATAAAACATACTGCAGCGCAAGGCTGCAGAGGCAGGCCATGTCTGAATGAACATCTTTGTTTAAAACAAGAGCTCAGGGCATATCAAGACCGAATTTCTAGTCCGATTTCTCTTTTTATCTCTCTCTTCTTTCCCCAGGCTTTCTCAGAAGCACGGTCCAGATATTGTTGATGACAGCAAGGACAATATCACCATCTTCACACGCATTTTGGACCGGCTGTTGGATGGGTATGACAATCGGCTGAGACCTGGACTCGGAGGTCAGTCTGCATTGTGAGGATTTTATTTTCCTTCACTACATAGCTTCATAAATGAGCTATAAAGTTTACTCCCAGAGTAATATCAACCATAATTCATGGAGTAAGGGGGGAATTCAGTCCTACAGTTGTTCTTTCCCTGGTTCTATGTCCTGAGCTTCTATGATAGCTGCATCAATAGACCTGTAGATCGACCAATGTGGGCTTCTCTTCCTACACTAATGGACCCCAACCTCCTCCTAGAGAAGACCTCCTTCTCCTGTGGAGAGAATGGAATTTGGTTTTCAAGTTCATTCAGTCCTGGGTTCCTACCTCAAGGCTCTGCCAAATTAAACCCTAGAAACAAACCCAAGCCAAACCGGTCCCAGGCATTATTGTGATCTGCTTTCATAGAGCAGAACCCCAGTGAGCCCCAGGGACCTGCACGTCAGGCTGATGTCCTTCTTTCCAATTGACTTCAGAGGGTTTTGTCAGAGAAATGCTTTCAGTATCAAAATAATTTCTTCTGTATCTGTGTCCCATTTAGAAATTACTTAATTGGAGATTCTTCTTGCACTGGGTCTTACTCAGCTAGGCCTCTCTCACTGGGACTCAAGGATGATCTGAACATCACCATCATCAGGAATGATTGTTATTGTTGTTTTTCAAGCACCCAAAACTCTGTTTAATGCCTTATAAGACAGGGTTCCTTCCCCCAAGAGCTGACAGTATGACTATGGCATGACCATGATGAGGAAGGACCACAGATGGGATGGTGGGTAGGTGAACAAGAGTTACACTAGTAAGATGATGGGGTTATTCAGTGAGGCATGGACACATGATAGGTGTTTTGGTGGGAGCAGGGGGATTTCATTACCTTTCCTCCCCTTTGCTTCATGTAGGCTTTGCATCCAAATTTTTTCAGAGGAACTGATGCAAGGGAGGTGGCTCCTCTCAAGTGTGGGTTGCCATTGCCAGAATGTTGCTGGTCACTGTTTGTGAAACTAGAGCAATGGATTTAGGTTGAATTACACTGTGTCTGTAGGGAACAGCTGAGAGTTCCCCCACCCCACAGCCACTGCCCCCATCCCATTCAGTACAGTGTGGAGAAGCTGGCGCTAGAGAGCTGTGACTGAGCCGGTCTTGCACTACGTTTTCCAGCTGCTTCTGCTGGAGTTGGAATGGCAGCGATCTCCCCCACAGCTAGTGCTTCGGCAGCTTCTTACAGTGACTTCTGAGAGAGTCTAGGACTGAAGTAATTGTGGGCTCCCCTGCAAGCCGCAGTACTGTATTTTACTACTCCCAACAGCACCTCCTGCTGGGGAGGTGGAGACTGAAGTCCCTTAGTTCCCCATACTCTATTGCTCCTATGGAAACTTCTGCTGGGAAAGCCTGGGATTAGAGCAGCTATGATCTTCCCCGGTGGGAGGCTCTTGCTCCATTCCCTGCTGGGAGAGGCTTTCTAATCTGTAACACCCAGCATTCAATCTCCCCCCTTCTTTGCTTCTGTCTGCCCTGCTCTTCATTTAAGACTTTTCTAACAGAGTCCTAAATTGTCACTCCCTCGTCCCCTCTCTCCCCACCACTGCTATTGCATGCCTACACCTCTCCAAAGACAACTCAGGCAGAGATCAGCAAAAATCCAGGTGCATGCCAGCAAGCTCTTCTGCCTTAAAAAACTTGCCTTGCTGCATGGCTCTTTTGCCCAGGAGGGAAAGGGTTAAAATATCTGCATAGACCATCCATCAGTTTTATCGCTTTTACTGCTCATCTCTCTTCCGCAGAATTAACCGCAATCCCACTGATAGCTTTGCTTCCTCAAACCTCTCTGATGGGTGGATCGATTCCAATGAACTGCGTCTGAAAGGGGACTTAGGGGACATCCGTGGCTTGTTCTGAGCTCAATAGCAAACCAATCCCCAGGGCAAACTATTAACAAGAGGACTCCCATGAGCCCCTTCTGGAGAAGTTAAAACCTTCCTAGGAACGTCTCTGGAATATTGCTTAAGTCCTTCCGCAAAACAGTTAACATAATGAATTGCCTTTGCCTGTGCCAGGACTGGCACGCCCTGCACAAAGCTACCCTCACCTCTGCTTTTCCCTCACGCAGGATTCATTAATAGCTGCACCAGAGGGAAAGGGCTGGCAAGGTTCTTAGCTAGGGCTGAGTTTCCCAGTGTGTGTGTCTTGATAACCTGCCCTCTCACCTCTGAGCTAGGCTGTGGGTTTAGGCTCATTGCTGACACTGCAGTGTGGGTCTCTGGGGGCTGCTGCCAGTGGCTGTTTGGAGGAGGTGATACACAGGAGTCCTGTCTGCCAGCCTCTTGTGGCTGGAGAGGTGGACACTAATGATCCCACTGTGTGGAGGGTAGAGGGTAACCTGGGTGTCTTGGGGTAGCATTCGGTACAAATCGGGTCTAATGACCAAGATTGTGTGGGGGTTCTGCTTCTCTTTAAGTCAGTCACCGCACTGCTGGTAGCTAGCACGCTGCTTTGGAAAGCACATTGGCTTACCTCAGGGATATCAGTCTGCCGTCTGTGTGGACCACGCCATTTACAAAGCACACACCAACCCTCCTGACATACTTAGGGATCCCCTCCCTCATCTGGTTGCCTTTCTCCCTCCCTCATACCTCATTCTGGAGGAGGCTTTCATTATCTCTGCACAGTTTGGACTGAGATGTGTGGTTTATCCTCACACACAACACAGTGCTGAGCCTATTGTGTCCCTAGTTACCATATGCAGCAAGGCTGCACAAGTCAAGGATAACTAGGAGAGGGCATGGCCTAATGGTTAGCAAGTGACTGGGAGTCAGGATATGTGGGTTCAGTTTCTAGCCCTGCCACTGAATCCGTATGACCTTGGGCAAATCACAATCTCTCTGCCTCAGTTTCCCCATTTTACAAACAGAGGTAATGCTGCCTGTCCCACAGAGGCTTTGAGATCCCCCAAAGGAAGGTACTAAAAAGCACAAAGTATTAATTGTATGTTTCTAGTGATAATGAAATAATGACGGATGGGCCAGGGACAAAGTCTCCAGATTTCTGCCATTGAAAAGCCACGTTCTAAGTAATACAGCCTCCTTAATAAAGGGTGAAATCTTGTTACCTTACTCCAGGCACAAAGATATAGCTGGGCGCAGACCTAGCAGGATTGTTCATTCACCTTCTGCTGCTGTAGACCTGAGTTCAACTTCTGGCTTGAGCCACATGTGAATGAGTTTATTGGTATCTCACTCTAAACTGGGGTTTGCCACAAAAGCTTAGTACAAGTGGCAATCACTCCAGGGGGCTGGAACTAGGGGTGCTCAAGGTGCTGCCGCACCCGCTGGCTTGAAGTGGTTTCTATCATATACAAGGTTTACAGTTTAGTTCAATGGCTCTCAGCACCCCCACTATACAAATTGTTCCAATATCACTGCAACCACTATTTCAGGCCATGTCTGGAATAGCCAGGGGTCCTCTGGCTTGTGACTGAGGGGCATTTGCAAAGCTGTGGGCTAGCCCAGGACTGAAATAAACATGGTTGCATTGGCAAAGCTGCATAGGGAAGATCACAGAGGGCCTGCCTGAGCTTTCCCTGGTTCATGTCCGTGCTGTGACTGCTGAGTGGACCCATGGATCTTTAGAAATAATAAATAAAGGTCTGACGTGAACCCATTACTCCCTGGAAAGCCAGTACCCTAAGAGAGGATATCTGCTGCAAAACCTCTGGGATGTTAGGGCAATTAACTCTCCAGCTGCTACTCCAGCTGCTGAAGAAGCAGGACTTGGGGAACTTTTAACCCTTCTGTGGCATTTCGGCTTGATGTCTTTGCCATTGCATAAATTTCCATGAAAAGAACATGAATTACAATACAAGCAAATTCACTAGGATGGACGCAAAGCTTGGGGTCACTCCATCAGTGCCATTTGTACTCCCAGAAGAGACAGGAGAGGGTAAGCATAGTACAGCTTGAATGGCCAACTTGGGTGGGAAACAGAGCTCCAAATGGACTTAGCTGCTGACCCTACTGGTGACTTGGTACAGCTCAATTTCAGAACAGCAAGGACATTCCTAGGGACTCAATCTTGGGAAGCAGTGATTCTGAAAAAGATTTGGGGATCGCAGTTCATAATCAGCTGAACATGAGCTCTGTGTGTCGCTGTGGCCAAAAGAGCAAATGCAACCCTGCGATGCATCAACGGGAATCTTGAATAGGAGTAGAGAGATTTGACCTCTATATTTGGCATGGTGCAACCACAGTTGCAATAATGTGTACAGTTCTGGTGCCCACAATCAAGAAGGAAGTTGAGAAATTGGAGAGGGGTCAGAAAAGAGTCATGAAATGATTAAAGGATTAGAAAATCTGCCTTATAGTGATAGACTTAGAGAGCTCAATCTGTTAAATTTAACACAAAGAAGGTTAAGGGGTGAGTTAATCACAGTACAAATATCTACAAGGGGAACAAATTTTTAATAATGCTCAGAGAAAGGTCTAACACGATCCACTAGCTAGAAGTTGAAGCTAGACAAATTCAGACTGGAAATAAGGTGTACATTTTTGACAGTGAGTAATTAACCTTGTAACAACTCACCAAGGGTCATGGTGATTTCTCCATCACTGATAATTTTTAAATCAAGCTTGGATGTTTTTCTAAAAGATCTGCTCTGGGAATTATTTTGGGGCAGTTCTCTGGCTTGCATTATACAGGCAGTCCCACTAGATGACCACAGTGACCCCTTCTGACCTTGGAATCTATGGAGAGGGGGAGGAGGAAGGAATCTGTGGGTGGGAAGGAAGGGTTGAGTGATTCTAAATGGCTTTTCTGATCGGGAGGCACTCATATTGTAATCCTTTTGGGGCCTGTGTCTTTTTTTGGGTCTCATACAGCACTGAGCACAGTGTAGATGCTGAACAAGTAATAATGGAAGGATCAATTCAAAAGTAAGAGCAATGTAGAGAAGAAAGTGAAAAGGGGAGGATAAAAGAAGGGCTGGAGAGTGTGGGACAAGAAAAATGAGAGAGAGTGGGAGGCGGGCA